CGGCGCGGCGGCCGAGCGTAGCCGGATCAGCTGGGCACTAGTGCTGGGACAGCCACCGTCAAACAGCAATGTGTTTCAAGATGTGCTGATGTGGCTCGTTGATGTGCCGGGCGAGCCGCTTCGGCAACGTCGCTGCCCAAGCTGCCAAGCCGCGCATCTTTCCACCAGCCGCTCGCACCGCCCTTTTCGTCCCCGTTTAACACCATGGCTTCGCTCGTCGTGCGCACCAGTGTCGACCACGCGCGCCACACTCTTTTTTCCCGGGGCGCGCGCGCGAAGAAAGCGGCGCCGCACCGCTCGCCGATCCCAGCCACGCCAGCGGATCCGGAGGCCACGTGGGTCCCGCGCGGCCCCGCCCGCGCGGTGCACGGCCGGAATCGCCGCGCGAGCGTGCCGCGCGCGCGCCGCAGTCGAAGATGCAAGCCTTCTTCGGCGCTGGTGGGCCACCCGGGGCGCCGCAGGCGGCTTTCGACGGCAAGAAGTACCTCATCGGCGGTAACTGGAAGTGCAACGGCACCAAGGCGTCGACCGCGGCGCTCGTCAAGACGCTCAACGAGGCGGGCCCCATCCCCGCACGCACTCCGGCGTGCCATCGCGCGCTTCGAAGAAATTCACGTCGTTCCTTAGGCGTGGGTCGAGGTCGTCGTCGGCGTGCCGAGCGTGCACATCGGCTCCGTGCTCGCGACGCTCCGCCAGGACGTCGCCGTCGCCGCCCAGGACTGCAGCGCCACGGGCGACGGCGCCTACACGGGCGAGCTGAGCGCGGGCATGCTCGCGGATTTCGGCGTCAAGTGGGTCATCGTCGGCCACAGCGAGCGGCGGACGAACCAGAAGGAGTCGTCGGCCCTCGTCGCGACGAAGACCAAGGCGGCCCTCGACGCGGGCCTCTCCGTCATGGTCTGCGTCGGCGAGACTTTGGAGGAGCGCGAGGCGGGCAAGATCGACGCCGTCGTCCTCGACGACCACATGGGCGCGCTCAAGGGCAAGTTCTCCGACGCGGAGTGGGCGAAGATCGCCATCGCCTACGAGCCCGTCTGGGCCATCGGCACGGGCAAGACGGCGACGCCGGACCAGGCCCAGGAGGTCCACGCGTCCATCCGCAAGTGGCTCGCCGCGAACGTGAACGAGGCCGTCGCCAAGGCCACGCGCATCCAGTACGGCGGCTCCATGAAGGGCGCCAACGCCGAGGGCCTCCTCAAGCAGCCCGACATCGACGGCGGCCTCATCGGCGGCGCGTCGCTCAAGGCCGAGTTCATCACGGGCATCGCCGCCGTCGCCGCGAAGCCCGAGTAGGCGCGCCCCGACCCCGCCCCCCGGCGCGCCGCATGCGCGCAAGTCCCCGCTGTTCCCCTTCTCAGTTGACAGACGCCCCTAACCTCCATGTCTCCCGATTGTCCTGGACTCGGCCGGGCGGCGTGTTTTCACGGCCCGTTCATTGAGTCGCAATCGAGGCTGATTTCACTTTTTTTCGGAAAGTGAATTAACATGGCCTAGGAGATTCTTTTTTTCCGGCCCGGCAGGGGCTAGGAGATTCTTTTGGGGCGAACCAGGCCTAGGAGGTTGTTTTTGGCAAATTTTACTTCAATTTTACTTCAATTTTACGGCAATTTACCTTCTAGGAGATTCTTTTCGGGGCCGCTGAGCCGTGGGAAAGTGAACGTGGGAGCCCGATTTCGACCCTGCCGTTCAACGCAAACTTGAACTGAACTCGGAAGGTCAACTCCGTCCAGAATATCGCGCGCTGCGCGAATCGCTGTCAAGGATCGAATTCTATTCAGACGGATCCGACACTAGTAGACAATGGCAGCCTTGATTACGCACGCGCGCGCCGTGCTCCTCGCCTTGGTGCTCGCCGCGCCGGCGGCGCACGCGGCCGACACGGTCATCGTGGGCACGAGCTCGATGGTTTCGGCCATCGACCCCACGCCGGGATCCTCAGAG